GGAGTATAGATGACACTTTGTACATAGGTGTATTGTAACTGTATTGAGAGGAGTGAAGATGACACTTTGTACATAGATGCATTGTAACTGTATTGACTGAAGTAAAGTTGAGACTTTGTACGTAGATGTTTTTTTAACTGTATTGAGAGGAGTAAAGTTGACACTTTGTTCATAGATGTATTGTAACTGTATTGACATGCGTAAAGGTAACACTTTGTACATAGACATATTGTAGCTGTATTGACAGGTGTAAAGATGACACTTTGTACATAGATTCATTGTAACTGTATTGACTGAAGTAAAGATGACACTTTGTACGTAGATGTTTTGTAACTGTACTGACTCCAGTAAAGTTGACACTTTGTACATAGATGTATTGTGACTGTATTGACAGGAGTAAAGTTGATACTCTGTACATAAATGTTTGGAACTGTATTGACAGAAGTAAAGTTGACACTTTGTACATAGATGTATTGTTACTGTATTGACTGGAGTAAAGTTGACACTTTGTACATAGATGTATTGTAACTGTATTGACAGGAGTAAAAGTAACACTTTGTACATAGATGCATTGTAACTGTATTGACAGGAGTGAAGATGACACTTTGAACATAGATGTATTGTAACTGTATTGAGAGAAGCAAAGTTGACACTTTGTACATAGATTCGTTATGACTGTATTGACAGGAGTGAAGATGACACTTTGTACATAGATGTATTGTAACTGTATTGAGAGGAGTAAAGTTGACACTTTGTACATAGGTGTATTGTAACTGTATTGAGAGGAGCAAAGTTGACACTTTGTACATAGATGTATTGTAACTGTATTGAGAGAAACAAAGTTGACACTTTGTACATATATTCGTTATGACTGTATTGACAGGAGCGTAGGTGACACTTTGTACATAGTTGTATTGTAACTGTATTGAGAGGAGCAAAGTTGACACTTTGTACATAGGTGTATTGTAGCTGTATTGACAGGAGTAAAGATGACACTTTGTACATGGATACATTGTAACTGTATTGAGAGGAGTGAAGATGACACTTTGTACATAGATGCTTCGTAACTGTATTGACTGAAGTAAAGTTCAGACTTTGTACGTAGATGTTTTGTAAATGTATTGAGAGGAGTAAAATTGACACTTTGTACGTAGATGTATTGTAACTGTATTGACAGGAGTGAAGGTAACACTTTGTACATAGACGTATTGTAACTGTATTGACAGGAGTAAAGGTTATACTTTACACATAGATGCATTGTAACTGTATTGACAGGAGTAAAGTTGACACTTTGTACATAGATGTATTGTGACTGTATTGACAGGAGTAAAGTTGACACTTTGTATATATATGCATTGTAACTGTATTGACTGCAGTAAAGTTGACACTTTGTACATAGATGTATTGTAACTGTATTGAGAGGAGCAAAGTTGACACTTTGTACATAGATTAGTTATGACTGTATTGACAGGAGTAAAGTTGACACTTTGTACATAGGTGCATTGTAACTGTATTGACAGGAGTGGAGATGACACTTTGAACATAGTTGTATTGTAACTGTATTGAGAGGAGCAAAGTTGACGCTTTGTACATAGATTAGTTATGACTGTATTGACAGGAGTGAAGATGACACTTTGTACATAGATGTATTGTAAATGTATTGAGAGAAGCAAAGTTGACACTTTGTACTTAGATTCGTTATGACTGTATTGAGAGGAGTAAAGTTGACACTTTGTACATAGGTGTATTGTAGCTGTATTGACAGGAGTATAGATGACACTTTGTACATAGGTGTATTGTAACTGTATTGAGAGGAGTGAAGATGACACTTTGTACATAGATGCATTGTAACTGTATTGACTGAAGTAAAGTTGAGACTTTGTACGTAGATGTTTTTTTAACTGTATTGAGAGGAGTAAAGTTGACACTTTGTTCATAGATGTATTGTAACTGTATTGACATGCGTAAAGGTAACACTTTGTACATAGACATATTGTAGCTGTATTGACAGGTGTAAAGATGACACTTTGTACATAGATTCATTGTAACTGTATTGACTGAAGTAAAGATGACACTTTGTACGTAGATGTTTTGTAACTGTACTGACTCCAGTAAAGTTGACACTTTGTACATAGATGTATTGTGACTGTATTGACAGGAGTAAAGTTGATACTCTGTACATAAATGTTTGGAACTGTATTGACAGAAGTAAAGTTGACACTTTGTACATAGATGTATTGTTACTGTATTGAGTGGAGTAAAGTTGACACTTTGTACATAGATGTATTGTAACTGTATTGACAGGAGTAAAAGTAACACTTTGTACATAGATGCATTGTAACTGTATTGAGAGGAGTAAAGGTAACACTTTGCAAATAGATGTATTGTAACTGTATTGACTGGAGTAAAGTTGACACTTTGTACATAGATGTATTGTCACTGTATTGACTGCAGTAAAGTTGACACTTTGTACATAGATGTATTGTCACTGTTTAGAGAGGAGTAAAGTTGACACTTTGTACATAGATTCATTATGACTGTATTGACAGGTGTAAAGTTGACACTTTGTCCATAGATGTATTTTAACTGTATTGACTAGAGTAAAGTTGACACTTTGTACATAGATGTATTGTAACTGTATTGACTGGAGTAAAGTTGACACTTTGTACATAGATGCATTAGGTGCACTGTGTAGTCGATTGGCACTTTGCATTGTCATTGTTTGGCAAGTTTATTTGATTGGATCTGCGTGACTGGAGTTAAATTGATACTTTAAGACATAATTAAGATGTACTGATAATCATTGTATAATTATTGACCAACATTAGACATAATTTGTAATGTGTACATTTCTCTGTAATTATCTTCGTCCTTCCTCTTTGACAGGTTCCATATTCCTGGGTTTTTTCACTTGATTGTTTGTCACTTTCTTGAACTCCATGTGCACTTTGTGATAATAAACAAACTATTTATGGTTTTTTCTAGTTACTGTATAATTTGTCGCTTACTTATTCTAACAACTAAGGGGGGCACGGGTGGCTCAGTCGTCTAAGGCGCCGTGAAACAAAAAACAAAATTATATTTCTTCATCTCAGACCTTATTGACTCCATGATGTATTCAAAGCACACTGACAGGACAGTATGTTCCATTACATGAAGAACATGGGTGGCCGAGTCGTCTCAAATGCTAAAATTCGCTGTGCAGAGTTGCGTCCCTTGGGCACGCCAGAAACCTATGATTGTGGGTTCGCCCCGATTATGTTTTTAGGTTTGTCAGCACCATACCCGTGCTCGTGGTAAATGCCTGAGACTTGCATCACTTTGGGCTTTCCTCTCACATTAAGTTGACACGCCGTGATATAACTGGAATACGCTTAAAAGCGATGTTAAACCCAACTCACTCACTCTAACGACTAAGGACTAAGGAATATATATATTGAATACCAACAAGGCTACAGTGGTACTGCATGCTCAAAATGGTAGTGACTGAAACTGTGAACAATGGTACAAAAGTACAGCCAACCAACAATGATAGTGACTACAATTGCCAACTGAAGCCCAACAGTGGTAGTTACTAAAATGGACAACAGTGGTTTCATTGTTCTGCATCTCAACAATGGTAGTGGTGTAAGTCACCAACAATGGTATTTGTCCACTGGAAACGAAATCAAAGGAAATAAGGTCAGACGCATAGTCTGATCACCGAATCGTCATTAAGCAGCTTGTACGACAAGCAATTGTACCCAAGAATCGAAGACGACATCCCAGTAGAATGCAAGTGCCTGGTGCAGCCAGACATGAATGAATGAAATCTTTAAGACAAATATGACAATATTTTTGTTGATTGTTTACAGACGCACTTTGCATGGTCCTGCTATATCATGATAGCCTGTATGTAATCACATCTGGACGGGGGAACGAGTGGCCAAGTCTTTTTAGGCGCCGAAATTCGTTGTGTGAAGTTGCGACCCTTTGGGCAAGCCAGAAACCTGTGGTCGTGGGTTCGAATCCCGGTTCGTCCTGATTATGTGTGTAGGTTGTCGTGGATTTCACCAAAGTGGTAAACGTCTCAGGCCGGCATCACATCGGGCGTCCCTCCAACATTAAGCTGACACGGCGTGATATAAGGGTAATACTGTTCAAAGCGGTGTTAAAACCAACTCACTCACTCAGTCTGACAATCCATTGATTGATATTATGAATAACGTAACATGCCACTGGGGTATAATGACAAACTATCAACTGGGTCTAATCCTGATCCATGAAATCGCTGCTCAAGGCCAAGTTGCTATTTTAATCCCAACATTTCAACCTCAATTCTCTATGTGGTAATGCCCAAAGCCCAAACTAGTGCTGGAGGTGTTTAGAGTAGTTTGGATATTTGCGACAAGATATAAACCCTCCAAAGAAAGGCTGCGTTAAATAACTTATCAAACAAACAGAATTTAACTCATGTAGTCAGTTGGAGGACCACAAGTCAGACAACTCAAACTCAACCCCCCTCTTCTTACACATGTGCTTATATTTAATAAGTTTGACGAAAATGTTGCTAAGCATGGTAAGGGAGTCATAACAAGTATTCCATATCCCACAGGTTGAGTGACGATGATACGAGGACCATTCACTACATAACCAGCCTAACCTATTTGCTACTGCTCCTCACTTCTTCTTTTTCCACATAATCACCATTGAGGTCTATGCACTTTGTCCAGCGATGTGTGAGAGCGAAAAGCCCGTTATGATAGAAACCATGGGGTTGTTCGTGTAACCACCCCTCCACTGCTGTCGTGAGTTCATCATCGGACCGGAAATGACGTCCACGCAGTTCTTTCTTCAAGTTTGGGAAGAGAAAGTAGTTGCTTGGTGCCAGGTCTGGTGAGTATGGTGGTTCAGGCAATACTTTGAACCCGTTCCGCTTCACTGCGGCAACCGCAAGTCGACATATGTGCACTCTGGCATTATCATGTTGGAGCAACACACCTTTTGTGATCTTTCCACGACTATTTGGCAAAAATAGCAGTCCGCAAACGGTCCAGGAGATCGTAGTAGTACTCTCCATTAATAGTCTGGCCACGTGGCAAGTAGTCAGTGAGCAAGACCCCTTTGGTATCCCAAAAGATGGTTGCCATGACTTTGCCAGCCGATGGTTGAGTCTTAAACATTTTGGGACGGGGTGAAGCAAAGCCAGTCCACTGCTTACTCTGTTCTTTGGTTTCTGGGTCATAGTGGTGTACCCAGGTTTCATCACCAGCAACAATTATCTCCATTAAGTTGTCTGCATCCCAACTGCATTGTGTCAAAAGTGCCTGACACATTGACGCACGTACAACCTTCTGATCATCACTCAGACATTTCGGGACCCATCATGCAGACAGCTTCCTCATACCCAGACAATCATGCAAAATGGTATGGACACTTCCCTCTGAGATGACCATGGCCTTGGCCATTTCTTACACCTTCTTTTGCCTGTCTTTGACAACCAGTTGTCTCACAGCTTCACTTGTTTGGTCATTGGTCACCTCTACAGGCCTGCCAGGGCGTGGCTCATCTTCCAGGTTCACCCGACCCCTCTTAAATTCTGCAACCCAGAATTTGACCTGTGCATGCGAAGGTGCACTGTCACCATAAACATCTGGCAATTCATCATGTATCTCCTTTCCCGGTTTCTCTTTTAAGTAGAGGTACCTAATAACAGCCCTGTATTCAACCTTTGACGAAAATTTGGCAGAATCTACCCTTGCCATCTTTATAGATCACGTGTGTGACTTCAAATACAATTTCCTCAGTGAAACTTTGTCTATGCACGTGACATACATTGGTGCACAGCACGTGACAAACATTCAACCGTTAAGATCTGATAAAAATAGCTTAGGCTGGTTATATATTGAATGGCCCTCGTATATCGTCATTGAGGGGCTGAAACAAAGAATACTTTGAGTGGGTATTCATGTTAAACTGCGGCATGGCGTGGGCCATGGCACCATTAAATCGGCATTGGTCTGGACTAGAACAAGCAGCCATACACATGCGCATGCACGTCGCTATATAAGTGCAATAATCTTGAACGCGACGTTAATCCCTATTTCACCTCACCTCACAACACCTCAGCTACGGCATTCAAGGCATCAATGAAGCTTTCAAAAAGTTTAATGGTAGACCTGTGGAGGAGAGACAAGTGAGTTAACTGACTATAAAAGTCCAGTTTCCACCCTTGCCGAACTAGGCTGGTATTATGGAGTTACAGTTTGGCTGTGCTAACGAGTCTATGCATAGTCCAATCAAAATCGCGCAACGAAATCCGGTTCGTAAACTATCGTGCTTATCGATTGCAGGATTTGCAAAGCATGTGCACTGCTAACTCGTTGTTAACAGATATTTTCCAAATCTTTTCATGATTTTAATCAGGTGCTCACGTGATTTGATGCTACTATCGAGCCCAGGAATTCAAGCCTAGTTCGGCAAGGGTGGAAACTGGACTTTTAAAGTCAGTTAACTGGCTTGCCTCGGGAAGATGACAATCCCGATGCAATTCCTTATTTTGACTCATGTCTTTGACCATTTGCTTTTTCAGGTGAGCAGATGTCTTGCCTTTGCATTTGTTTGTTACGTTACCTTTTCGCAAACACCTGGCACCATCGCTGTTTGATAGTGATTCATCAACACATGCTCATGATATAGCCGGAATCGTACAATGGGCTCTGCTTTTAGTGAGTGAGTGAGTTAATATTTAAAGTCACATCGGCATTATTTCAGCCATATCGTGACTTGAGCAAGTTATGTATTTATCTAATATATTAAGACCTGTCGTCGAAGGACAGTACAACAACTAGCAATATATCACAGATTATAATTGTAAAACTAGTTTTAGAACAATAAAATAATCAGATTATAACAGACGATACAATATAAAAACGAGCTGTAGATCACCAGCAACCAAAGTTAGTCCACCACACTAGGGACTATGGGGACGAACAGTACTTCTGCTACCTACATGGTACCCCAGCAGGACTAACACCATCCCTCTGGCCATTGGCCATGATCAGAAAGATTAGCCAAAGAGTTAAAATCAACAAAAATACTACGATTAAAATCACAGAGAAATGAAAAGATACGTTGAATGATACTGGTCTTACGTACCTTCCCAGGGGTACAATTGTTTTACGATACTTCAACCCCTTGTGAAGATACAGCCACTAACAATCTTAGTTATGATTTCATTCCACTAAATTAAAAATCATTTACTTTGTACTATACATATTATAAATCAAAATTTATCTATTAATTCTATTTCTTTTTAAAAAACCGATGATTAAATGAGCACTGATTTGATTAAAAAGATCCTTTATGGATGTAATTTTGAAATACTTATCCCTTATGATGGAAAAATCAACGCAGTCAAGCAGGACATGTTTGACCGTGATTCTCTCATCACAAGGGATACAGAATGGAGGATCTTCACCTTTTAATAAATATTCATGTGTATATCTTTAATGGCCAATACGACATCGTCGTAAAATGACCTCTTCAAATCTGGACTGACAACCCAAGTAGGTGTAACCAATAGTTCGTTTTATTTCATCTTATTTATTGATACCTACTTGGGTGACCCTCTTCTTTTCTACAGGTTTGTAATCACTGTATGGGATAAGGAGTGGTGTCACAGATTTATTGAGTGCTGCTTTTGCAGCAGCATCGGCCATTGTCTTACCAACAATTCCAACGTGGCTAGGTAACCAACAAAAGACGATGTCGTACTGGCCAGTCGCAATATCGTTATGTAATTCTATAATTTCACGTAGAAGTGGATGTTCAGATGCAATATTCTTAGTTGCCTGAAAACAGGAAAAGGAATATGCTGAACTGCTTATATTTAGACTGAGTAGTTATATATTTGAGAGCTGTTAATTTCCCTGTGATTCTGCTGTAAAAATTGAACTGTCATTTGGTAATCTGGATGATATTGTTCTAGATCCAATGACAGTTACGCTGGCAACATCTTTGGATCCATCAGTAAATATAGATTTGGAAGGGCTTCTTAATTGATTATATTCTTGTTGATACATTAGTTGGTTTGTGTCTGATTTCTTAAATTTAGCTAAGGAAAGATCTACTTGTGGCCTTACCAGTTGCCAAGGGGGAGACGACAGTATTTGGGCAGGAGAGATGTTATTGAGGTCAATTTTTGCAGCAGATATTTCAGGTTTTATTCTTATTCCAAGGGGTGGAATAATGGATTGTTTCTTTTGATACAGATCCTCATACAGAGGACGAAAAACGCAGTTATAGGCTGGATAAGATTGATTGGAAAATAGTTTTGAGAGCTATTGTAATGATAGTTTTACATGACGTTGTGTCAGAGATGGCTCATCAGCCTCCACGTACAGACTATCAATGGGTGATGTTCTAAATGTACCAAGGCAAAGTCTCAGGGCTTGATGATGAATTGCATCTAATATTTTTAAATTACTTTTACAGACTCCACCACAGGTGATGGAACCATGATCCATTTTGGAGCGGATAAGGGCTCTGTAGAGTTGGGGGAGGGTTTTCTGATCCCCTCCCCACTTGGAATTTGAAACAACTTTCAACAAGTCAAGGGCCTTCTGGCATTTAGTTTTCAAATACTTTATGTGTGGTCAAAAAGTTAAATGGTGATCAAAAATAATACCCAGGAATTTAGCCTCTTTTACAACTTTTATTGGAGTGCTATCTAAAACTAAATCAGGGTCTTTATGAGGTTTGTATTGTCTGCAAAAGTGGATACAATTAGTTTTTGATTTTGATAATTTAAAACCATTTTCTACTGACAATTTATGGATTTTATTCAGACACAATTCTAGTTGCCTTTCGACAGTATTCATATTTCTTCCACGACATGAAATATTGAAATCCTCCACGAATAAAGATCCATCAATTGAATCGTTTAAAACCTTAGATAAGCTATTCATTTTAATACTAAACAACGTGACAGACAAAATACTGCTTTGCGGAACACGCTCTCTGCTTTTAGCAGAGAAGTTCACTACGAATATGAAGAGGGTTTTGTCGCCTTTATTGGTGAATAGATGTGGCATGCATCACACAAAGAAAACACCTGGCCATATAAATACTTGATATAAGCTTGAAACCATCAGTCACGGGGTCTTTATTTTCCAAATACTGTGTCACATGAGGTCCGTGGGCAAATATTGGAAGAAGCGTGGGTTTCAGATGAAATAGATGAGTTAAATCATGTAAATTCAGTTTATTCATACATGATTTCGAAATAACAGTCGCAATAACCATTCCTATTATGTTGTTTATGACTTAATATTAACGAACGGCGGATGTGCATTTAAAATACGTTTGTGTGTTTATTGTTACAGTATATCAAAATAGTTTTTCACCACTGACATAACATGTTTGCGTTTAGGAACAGCCACTTCAACATATCTGCACTGAAGCTTTGTTTGTGGTGTGAGTGAGTGAGTGAGTATGGTTTTACGCCGCTTTTAGAAAGATTCCAGCAACATCACGGCGGGGGACACCAGAAATGGGCTTCACACTTAGAACCCATGTCGGGATTCGAACCCGGGTCTTCAGCGTGACGAGCGAACGCTTTAACCACTAGGCTACCCGACCGTCCCTTGTGGTGTGAAAAAGAACAGATGGTTGTGCATTTTTGAATGCATAAGTGCAAGTTGACAAGAATAAAAGCATAATGTTCGAGATGCATGCTAGGATGGTTCCAGCCCCTTGGAGTTGAAATGGAAGATTTCCTTAGGTGTGGCCTTGGGTGGTCGTGATGGTGAAATGGGGTTTCACGTCGCGTCCAGGATTATTGCACTTACATAGCGACGTGCATGCAGCTGTGTGTGTGTGTGTGTGTGTGTGTGTGTGTGTGTGTGTGTGTGTGTGTGTGTGTGTGTGGCTGCTTATACTAATCCGGACTGATGGCGATTTATAGTGCTAGCCCTCTGAGATACAATGCAAATTAACTACGGCCTTGGTTGCCGAAGACCTATTTTAACCCCGATCTTCACGGGTGACATTTGTTCATGTAATAATTAACCCTAAGATTAGAAGTGACATAGCTGCACAGATCCTTTAGACTGGCTGAGGGTAAATGTACAACACTTTGAGAATTAACAATGAGTATTGGTATTTTACAAGCAGTGGCAATTAAAACCCCACCCTGACTATAAATAGCCCGTACGGTGGCGGTGTTTCAGTTTCCAACAATGACTGACTGTCTTCAACTTTTATTGATCTGCTTGATGTTGAAACCCATGTCCAGTTGTAATTACAAGATGAAGAAGATATGTTGTCATTATTCTTTGGTGCTGATACTCACTTCTCACAATGTATTGATATAGTTACATGGGAATCTGTTATACTGATATTTTCTGCTTATGTACTTACACTAAAGCCTTACTTTGATTATGTCATCTGATCTAACCTTTTGTACAGTGTGAATGGCATAACACTGGTGCTACTGTCTTGTATTGTATATATGTACAGGTAATATGAGTTTGTGTGAATACGTTTGATTAATTATGTATAATCTTCGGATTAACTTCTGGAGGAAATAAAGAATATATATATATATCTAGGACTTACACTCCAAGAAGATTGTATGTGGAACGATCACACTGATAGCCGAGTCAAGAAAGTCAGTCCAATGATTAACTGTCTCAGGAGTTTCAAGTATCGTTTAAATAGTAAAAACACTGGAAACTATGTATAAATCTTTCATATTACCGAT